AAACGCACAAAATGCACGATATATAACGTCATTTGACATTTTACATGTACATTGAATGAAATTGTATATGAACGCAAGTTAAAACAAACTGATTCTTTTGATACTGGTACTTAGAACAGATTTTTTTTGGATGTCTTCTTTGTAAAGAAGAGTAAAAGTTCGACATTATCTGAGCCATGAACATAAAAATTCTATAGCTTTGGGAGAGATATATACAAGTACATGTAATAAAAGTCATTGGCTCAGCGCCCCGATCGCGCGCACCCATTGTTTCAGAAATCCTTGTCAAATCTTTGTCATTCCTACATGTACTTAGAAACAATTAATCAAATGAAAATTCAGAGAGGGAAAACGATTTGAAAATTGCTTACTAAAATTAGTCAGCTGTGCCAAAAGGCCTTAACATGCTAATGGATGACAAACATTACGTAATTGTTATTCCCTCACTTTTTAATAAAATTGACCAGTATAACCGAAAAGTAATTGATAATATTTTTTTTGTTATAATAGTGTCACTAAATCTTCTGTTATGGAAGTGTTATTTGCAAACTTGCTGCCATGGCAACGGTGATTACATTTTCAATAACATAATTCAATACTTTAGGATATTACCGTTCAGAAAATATAAAGGTTGTTTTATGTAAAAGTTACTAGAAAATGTCTTAATTTTTAATAAAATTCTTTAGTCAATTTCCAGTAAAACGCTAAATCTCTGGTAGTAAAAGGGTTTAGGCAAAATAGGTGTTTTCGACTATATTATTTACTCAAAGAAAATATAAAACTCGCACAGGAAGAAACAAGACCTTTCAGTTAAAACTGAAAGACGTCTGTCAGTGACTTTTCAGTGGCCATTCAGCCACTGAATGGCACATACATTCAAGTGACCTTTCAGTTGACTTTCAGTCACATTTCAGATACAGTACCCGCATCGTTATTCTTTACAGGATACACGATACGATAGGATACACACACGATACGATAGGATACACGCACGATACGATAGGATACACGCACGATAGGACAGGATACACGCACGATAGGATAAACGCAAAACACGATACACGCAAAACACGATACACGAAACACGATAAACGCAAAACACGATAGACCTGATAAACGATCTTCAAGATAGGATAAACGCAAAACCTGATAGGATTGTTTCAAAATGCGGAACCTTTTCTGACAAGACGAACGGATTATTTTAAATTAAATTCAAAGATTAAAGATTATTTAACTTAAATCATATTTTAATTTAAATACTTGCAGAGCTTCAAATGTAAATTATAATGTACATTAAATTATTATAAAAAGAACTTGAGATTTCTGTGGTAATTTTACAAAAGTTGTTTATTTATTTATAAAAAATTAACAGTGATTAAATGGATTATTATAAAATGAAAACTGTAATTTCTATAACTTCTTCTCATGGGTGTGAATTTTGAAACTCTGTAAACAGATTTATTATTTATGAAAAAATATGCATTTTAATTTCATATCTAATAAATTTATCTATAAGTACAAATTTAAGTAATTTCACGGAAAAAAATTACGCAATAAAGTAAATATTTGTATTTAATGTCTAAAGCTTACAATCTGCGTTGTATCCAAAAATCGTAATTAAATATTAATATCTTACAAAAAAATACAAGTAGAAGACCGGCTGAAAGAAAGGTTAAAAGAAAACGGCTTTAAAAAATCAATAAATTTAACATGATAGATCTATCAAGAATTAAACAGTTCAAGAAAATTAATTTCCTGAATAGAAATCTAAAAAAATGTTAAAATAATGGCGCTCTTCATTAATACATGTACAAGTAAACTGTGTCATGAGAATATGAATCTGCTACAACTGCACATGTACGTTTACGCTAAGCTCTGACTTATGTAATGTAAACATTTATATATCAGATACTTAAAACCTCGTATTTATTAATGAACATTGAATGGTTAAATACTTTTTTCTTTACAATACAAAACAGAAAAATTAATTAACAAATATTAAAAGAGTGAAATGCGACTTTTCCGACTAAATGATAATAAATCATTGCTATTAAACTCTGTGTGTACTGTTTCTAATAATGACAAAAATAGATTTAATTCGGCAAATGAATTATTAAACCATAAAAATTATTTTAGACTGACCCGGTAATCTCATATGAGGCATATTTGAAGGTCGGGATGTTGAAAGTCCGTAACCAATTTAAAATTAGATAAACAAGATCTAACCAAATAGCCTAATATAATATTGAATTCTTAAATCAAGTTGTATACGTTTGGAATTAAATCGATTAATTCTATAAATTGATTCGGTGTGAATATTTACTTGTCTTTTATGGTCACGGCGGAATCAGACGACTTCCTTTTGTTTTATTTTTAGGTCACCTGAGTAAACTCAGGTGACCTATTGCTATCCGTTTTCGTCCGTCGTCGTCCGTCGTGTGTCGTGTGTTAACATTTGAACATTTTCAGCTTCTTCTCTGCAACCACTGAACCAATTTCAACCAAATTTGGCACAAAGCATCTATGGGTGAAGGGGAACAAAAATTGTGAATTTCATGATCCCTGCCCCCCTGGGGCTTGAGGGGTGGGGCCAAAACCACTTAAATTAATGCAATCTTTAAAAATCTTCTTCTTTACTCCTGGACATCAAGCAGTCAAACTATTTGCATGATTGTAATCAGCATTGAGTCCTCTACCAAAATTGTGAAATTCATGGCCCTGGGGTCAGGGGTTCTAGTGCTAGGGCGGGGCTAAATAAGTATATAGTGAAAATGCATTATTTCTTTGAAAATCTTCTCTGCTCCTGGGTATTAAATAAACCAACTAAGTACATAGTTATAATGAGCAAGAGTGCCTCTACCAAATTTGTAAATTTTATGGCCCCAGGGTCAGGGGTTCTGGTGCTAGGGTGGGGCTCTATTGATTATATAGTAAAAAAACATGATTTCTTTGAAAATCTTCTTCTCTGCCCCTGGGTATTAAATAAACCAAGTAAGTAAATAGTTATAATGAGCAAGAGTGCTTCTACCAAAATTGTGAATTTTATGTGGCCCCAGGGTCAAGGGTTCAGTCACCATTCAGCGGACATATTTCCGTTAACTTTCAGTGACCTTTCCGTCAACTTTCAGTGACCTTTCCGGCGACTTTCAGTGACCTTTCTGTCTTCTTTCAGTGACCTTTCCGTCACCTTTCAGTGATATTTAATTTTAGTCTCAATATAGCAATTTCTTTTCACTAGCTTGTCAAAATTATAATCAGATATTTTTTTTTCCTTATCAATGAAGCAATATTTTGACTAAAGATTTATTATTCAATCTTAATTGTGTTTTTTACTTATCGTAATTAAATTCGCATACTAAAAAATATGTCTAAATAATATTATAATATTGTAAAATAAATATTTATTTAAAATGATTTTTAATTTTCTAATTACATTTAGAAAACAAAATTTCGTCAAGTGATAAAGAATGATGATCCGATAATCGAATCAAAATTTACATGAATGCCGCATAACATTCAATAGTGCTTAAACACATGTACGTGTATTTTTTCATGGAAATATATATTTTTGATTATTTAGACAGAATTTATATGAATTACGCCTTTTCCGGAAGATCCCTTATATACCCGATCAATTTCGTTTCTTAATTAATTGTCAAAACCGCAGGATATTTTAGCCTTTGAAAGACATCATCTTAAAAATCATTTCATATGAATAGAATAAATCATTAATACATGTCTCTCGTAGAAAAAAAACTAAATGTTGTAGATTTTAGCTTTTAAAATAATATTCTTTAAAATCTATTCTACTGTTTCTAGATACTGAGATAGAGAATTTACAACGATCTCACATATCTGACACAGGAACAGGTGCCCGTCGCTGATAATTGTCATAAACCCGATAGGAGATGTGTAGTAATCATTCTCTATTCTCTATTCTCCTAATTGGTCATTACTATTTTGATGTTTTTTAAAGTAAAATGTAGTAGTAATAATAAAGTAGTAATGATCTTTTTAAAGTACATTAATGATCAAGCAAGGCTTTGTGAAGAATTTTAATTTTTCCCATGTATTCCTAATTTCCTACTTTAAAACTTGATCACCAATTTTGGCCCCAATCTACCCCAAGAATTCATGAATTGAACTATCTTAAATCTACACTACCTGAGGATACTTCCATGTAGCCATGTCCAACTACAGTAACTGCTTTGCTGTTCTTAAGAAGAAACAATTTAAGATGTTTTTTTCATTGTAATCCTACTTTGATCACCTTAATGGCACACCCTTGCCCCAGGGGTAATGACTTGAACAATCATAACTAGGACCAATCATGGCTTTGTTGTTCTTGAGAAGAAGATTTTTAAAGATTATTCTTATCTATTCCTTTTATGTTAAACTTTGATCCATTGTGCACCCTACCCCCGAGGGTTATGAATTGAACAAACTTAAATCTACAATTTCAGAAGATGCTTCCTTATTTCTATGACCAATCACGACTTTGCTGTTTTTGAGAAAAACATTTTAAAAGATTTTGTCTTATGTATTCCTATGTTAAACAATGTAACTCCATTGTTGTCCCAGTTTATGCCCGGTTGTCATGATTTGAACAGTCTTGAATCTTAACAACATGAGGACTCTTCTACATGAGTTCAATCTTAAGTGGTCCAATGGATCTTGAGAAAAAGGTCTTTATAAGATATCATTAATTTATCACTTATTCATCATTATCTCACCTTGGAAGAGGGCGTGTTTTTTTATTTGAAAAAAAAACTTGAATTCCCTTAACTCAACAATACTTCGTGGCAAGTTTAGTTGAAATTGGTCCAGTGATTCTGGAGAAGATGATGAAAATGTGAAAAGTTAACGACGACGACAACAGCAGGCAGCGGATAAATTTTGATCAGAAAAGCTCACATAAGTACTCGGCTCAGGTGAGCAGAAAATAGAAAACGCTGAAAAGAATAACAGTATTAAAAAATGAAAGCAGATTATCAACGTACGCATTTCTATTTGATCTTCTTGGTTTCCTGTTTTTAATTTCCGTTTCTTGCAGACCTTTTTAATTATAAGAACTAGAGACAGTAGTAGAATTACACCGAAGGCGATGGCAATTCCAATGATCATTGTTAGCTGATCTACAGTACTAGTCTCTGTGGTCAATATATTCATCGTGGCATTGGTAGTTGTCTTCAGAAAATCAGCCGTTGTACTTGGATGGACAGTTGTGGATTCTGTGCTATAATGGTCACAAGTTGATAGGTGCTTATTTAAGCCATGGGTATGTTTCTTTGTGTGGGAAAAACAATGATCACGTCTTCATCTCTTAATTTTTCACTTCGAGGAATGATATTTTTTAGTATTTTTTTGAATATTTCTTATAAAATCAAGATAAAACAACTAATGATATGCAAATGTATGACTAATGTCTCAAGAAACGTGCTGTAAAAATTACCATAGAAATTTAAACAAAAGGCCTATGGGCCAGATCACTCACCTTTGCTACCAAAAAAGCAGAAATTAGTTTACTGTAAACCCAACAGAAGTCCCAACCATTCCGTTAATGGGAGAGGGTATGATTTGCAAAAACTTAAATCTACACTACCTGAGAATGCTACCACATAAATAAAACCAATCACGGCTTTGCTATTCTTGAAAAGATTTTTTAAAAATTTTGTTATATATTTCTCTGTTAAACTTTGGTCAGCCATTGTGGCCCCGCCCTACCCCTGGGGGTCATGATTTGAACTAACTTGAATAAACACTATCTGAGAATGCTTCTATATGAATATGATGAATAATGGCTTCGTTATTCTTAAAAAAGTGTTTTAAAAGAATGTTCCTATGTATTTCTACATATATGTAAAACTTTGATCGACCATTATGGTCCTGCCCTACCCCGGGGGTCATGATTGAACAAATTTGAATCTATACTACCCGAGGATGCTTCCATATAAATAAGACCAATTATGACTTTGTTATTCTTGAGTAGATTTTTAAATAATTTTCCTATATATTTCTATCTAAAACTTTGGTCGGCCATTGTGGCCCCGCCCAAACCCCGCGGGTCATGATTTGAACTTGAATATGCACTATTTGAGAATTTTTCACAATAAGTTTAATCTTTCCTGCACAGTGGTTCTTGAGAAGAAGATTTTTAAATCATGCCACCGAATTTTAACTTTTTTCGAATTATTTCCCCTTGAATGATGACGTGACCCTTCTTTTGAACACATTTGAATCCCCATCACTAGAGAATGCTTTGTGGCAAGTTTGGTTGAAATTGGCCCAGTGGTTCTAGAGATGAAGTCGAAAATGTGAAAAGTTTACAGACAGAAGGACAGAGAGATAGACAGACAGACAGCTAGACAGACAGGCACCGGACAAAATGTGATCAAAAACGCTCACTTGAGATTTCAGTTCAGGTAAGCTAAAGAGCAAATCTTACATGTTTGGACATGATGGATCTGCATAAAAACATTGGTCTTCTGTGTTGATTTTACTGCAAGCTGAAACTAAATAGAATTGAAACTCACATTGATGTATAAACAAGATTAATGTTCGCAAATCAGCTAAAAGGAATTAAAACACAAACATTTGTATAGGTCAGTTCCTCGGAAGTTTGCTGCTGGACAACCGGTTGTAAAGTTCTGACAACTGATTTGATCTAAGGCTCCATACCCAGTCGTCACCAAGCAATTTCCTTTTTTTAAAAAAATGAATCAATGTAAATAATAGAGAAAAACAACAACAGTAGATACATGTATTTCATTCAATTATTATCATGGTTTCTATCAATAAACAACTTTTAAAAATTTTATCGTTTTAGTTTTACTGAAATTACATTTAATTTGTCTAATTTACATACTCGTATTAATTTTTTTGAATTAAATAGATTTTATCCTTTGAAAGTCTAGATGCATTTCTAACAATAGTAAGAAAATATTAACGTAAAGAAATTAAATTAATTTTGAATGTCACAACTCTCTCTCTCTCTCTCTCTCTCTCTCTCTCTCTCTCTCTCTCTCTTATTTTCTCTCCGTGGGGATCTGGGTTAGAATAGGTCCTCAGTGCCCCCTTGCTTGTCGCATAAGGCGACTAAATGGGGCGGTCCTTCGGATGAGACGTATAAAGCAAGGTCCCTCAGTATGTGCTGGTACGATAAAGATCCCTCTCTGCTCAAAGGCCATAAGTGCCTAAATTTGCAGCCCTTCACCGGCAATGGTGACGTCTCCATATCAGTGAAATATTCTTGAGAGGAACGTTAAACAGTATACAATCAATCAATCAATCTCTTATTTTTATCAAGATTTAATACAAGAAAAGAAAAGACCTGTTCATTTTTTTTTTCTAGTTATTGTAACATGTACTTATCTTTACCCTTTTGATAAAACCCGACGATTTTGCTGTAGCAGAATTCTACCAGAGTTGATATGTCTTCGTTAGGGACACATGTATACTGATTACGTCCAAACTCATCCTCACTACAGTTCAGTCTGGTAGCTGCTGTGATAAACTCTGTCTCATTGGTAGGACAGGAATCCACCACGTAACCAAACCCTCGGTAAGTCATTTCTGGAAATAAAAATTAAATTCTTCTGTTTAGTTCAAGCTACACAAAATTAGATCCGTTCGTCTCTTACTTTCTTTCTTTTTCAAAAGGGAATTGTCCATGAAACACGTAACAATAAAAATCTTTAAATGTTTGGATAATAGATCCAATGTACTCAGGTTGATCTTGTATAAATATTCAAAGATTATACCCAACATTGTAATTATTTTTGAATTCATACCGTAATATTTCAAATTTATTGTAAAATTTTGAATACCAAGTACATTTATGATTAAAATTTGGGTTATGATATATTTCATTTGCATTTAAGAAAAGTTTGATCTTCGTAATGTTGCAATACGGGGTCATCAGTGTTTCACAAACACACCTTGTTCCTTATATTGAGATAGGGCTTTCATATTTGCTTATGCATTACCGGTGACAAGATATTTCCGAGCATGCTATGATTTTTAACCCCTTGACCTTGACATTCACGATTAACCAATTTTTTTTTAAATCAACTTCAGTTCAGTAATAATTTCTAAATTAATGGCAAATGATAGGGTGTTAATTTTAGACACAATATGTCATAAAAATTGACATCTCGACCACAAAGACACCGAAAGCGGGGGACCACAATTCTTTGAATTTGCTTGTCAGGTAAAGATTTTGAACGATTTTTGCTTCAAATGAATACAGAAATAAGTCTGCTTATATTAAGGCAATTGGTATCCAAGGGATTTTCAATAGATTGTCTGGTCTAAAAAACAAATATATTGTTAATCAGAAACTTCTTTATAATGTCAACGTCAATGTACTAGTATGTACAATAATACTTTTAACAAAGTAATTTTGCAAATGACCAATGACAAGGCTCGTAAATTTACGAGTTCCAGTTTATTTATTGACGAAACAACTATAAATGGTGCCAAAAAGTCTGTGCGTTTAATTCATTGTAGGGAATAATCAATTGTATAAAAAGTCGAAAACTCATATGTTAATCATATGTTCTTGATCTTGGTGATTTCAAATTTTCCCAAAATTCCTTGCATTTTTTAAATGTCCATCTGATTGAATCCGTCTTCACAATTTACACGTGCCCATTAGCCGCACCATAAGAATGAGGTACTCACTGGGTAGTTGTGTAATGCAAACAATCGGTCAGCAGACATCATTACGTTATTGGGAAAGGTCATCAGCAATTGAACACGACTTAATTAGAGGTATGCCACCACAAAGATGTCATTTACAGGTAAATGAGCGCAATCAAGCAATCGGAATGCTTCAAGCTGGACAAACCTAGCGTGATGTTGCTTTCCAGTGTGATGTGTCCCAGAGTGTCATATCTAGAGTTTGGACACGATTACAGGGGACCGGTACAGTCAATGAGAGGCTTAGGATTGGACGACCCCGTGCTACAACGCAGCGCCAAGAGCAGTACATAGTAACGTTGGCTCGGAGACAATGTTTTCTACCAGCCCCAAGACTGGCTCGTTAGTTTAATGTTGCCGCATGCTTACACATTACACCCCAGACTTAAGAAACAGACTCCATGCTACTAACCTCAGGGCTTACAGGCTAGTAGTGCGCCCCAAACTTCTCCCACGTCATCGACAAGCACGCTTGGAATTTGCTCGTGAACATGTGAATTGTTATAGACGAGGGGAGGGTGGGAGCCGGTTATGTTCACAGATAAGCCCCGATTCTGCCTTGACTTTCACGATGGTCGTAGGCGTTTGTGGAGAGAGGCCAAACAGATATACAGTCAGGCATTGGTGGCTGAACACAATCGGTTTGGGGGTGACTCTGTGATGATATGGGATTAGATCCCTCTAGCGGGTCGCACTGACATTAGGATCGGAACACTTACTGCCCTCCAATACAGGGATGAAATTCTACTCCCTGTCGTCAGATTGTTTGCAGGAGCAATAGGGCCAAATTTCATTCTGATGGACGATAACGGCCGTGCTCATTTGGTTAAGGAGTTTTTTCAGAGGGAAACTATTGAGCATATGGAGTGGCCTGTTGTCTCACCGGACATGAATCCTATCCAGCATGTGTGGGATCAACTTCAGCATTAACTTTAACTAAGTCCAAACCAACTACAGACTTTGGATCACCTTGAAAACGCACTGAAACAGGAATGGAACAATCTCCCACAACTAAACATTGTGAATCCTTTATTGAATATGCAACATCGATGCCAGGCTGTTCTGAGAGCAAATGGAGGTCATACGGAGTATTGATGGCATTTTGAAAAAAAAAAAATTGGACATGTTCTGTAAATTACAATTTGTTTTTTTTCCTGCCAGATTTTTTCACGTCATTCAGTGACAAGTTGTTCTGTGCACAAGGAACTAAAATTCATGAAATGAAATCGAGGTTTCTGATTAAATATTGAATAAATATAATGTCAATGTTTGTTTTTCATAAATTCTGCCAAGTGCGTACAAAGGTTTACTTTAATGTATGAAATTGTCAATGATCCCTAATTTATTTTGTCCAATATATATATCACTTCTCGAATATTTTGTTGTACAATACTCTTGAAGTTTTTCCTTCATTACTGTCAATATGTTAGCGAGGGGAAAAAAGTAAAGAAAGAGACTTGGTAGAACAAATACTACAACTTTGCATCTGTTTGTAAAGATTTCTATGACGTTTCGGAATCCAAAAAAGATATGGCAAATCAAATTCATTTTGGCTATTTGGAATATCAAAAATATTCAAAACTGTAATATGATTTTGAAGAATTTTCTCCTAACTATAGGGATGTGGTTGGACTAACAAATAAACTTAAATAAAATTCAATCCAATATCATTTCAAAAACATTTTATTTAATGAGCCTTAAAAACAAAACAATGTTACCTGATATGTCAGCAGGGATCAGTAAATACTGACTGTGTAATCTTACTCTTTTTTCACCTCTGAATTAATTATTGAATACAGAAAGAAAGATGATTTTCAGTTTGCACCTCAATCTCTTAATGCGAAATTCTAACAAACATCTGACATATTTAATCCATTCTGACAAAGTCTCAAAGTCTTTTTTATCATGACTTGCCCATTGCTTTGCATAACCTTCTACCGAATCCCTGATATTTATGAAATACGACGCCAGTTGAAAGATATTTGTTCTATATATCTATCAACTTTTAGAAGTAGTCATCTAATGTGTTAATAATGAATATATTTATGTCACCAGTTATAACTTGCCAAGCAAAACTATTGGTATATGGTGATGAAGAAGAACACAAACAGATATTTAATATCCAGAACATGTAAAGGTTTGGATACAAAAGTCCATGTATATCTAGGAAATAAAAGGTTTATTCTTTACCTAAAAACATGGTGGAATACGATACTGGAATCTTTTTTGATTAGAAATATAACTTATATCAAACGCCTCAATTCCTTTGTTTGTTCATTGAAGTTTAAGGAAAAGACAGGCTTTGCGGTTTAAAGAAATAATGATGATAATGATATGCAATATACGTAATCACAGATCAGAACGTGCATTTTAGTGTCCAGAAATAAAATAAGGACCTTTCCATGACATTTGGCAGTTAGGTTAATGAATGCCAAAAGTATATCTATGCAGATCTTCGGAAATTCGATTATGACGTCACTGTGATACTGCACAAATGAATCTCGGCGAATTAATAAAAAAAAAATTTTGTACACTTTTATATACAGTGATTTCTCCTTATTATTGTAAGCATGAATTTATGTGTAACTTAAATGTATCTTGTCATTAAAGCACACAGTTTCTCTGCACTTGAAACGCAGATCTAGCTATTATTAAATCTTGTAAATATGAAATTTAATACTAGAAAAGCGTGATCTGATTAAGAATAAGTCATACTTTTAAATGCATTAAACAATATTTCAAAGTCTTATTAAATTGATAACAAATAGAGTTCTTATAAAGCCACATTCATGCACTTTTCTACACAAACGTACTACAATAACAGGCTAAACCCGTCGAAAATCTCTAAAGTTCAACAATATCCCCTTTACTGTTAAATATGATACTTTTTACACATGCAGTTATTGTCGCTTCTAGTTTGAAAAGTGCTGGGAGCAAGTTGTGCGCTGATTATTTTTTCTGTAATTTTACATTATTTCAATGCGTAGAGTGTTAATACATGAAGATTATCAAAAGACGGCTAAACTTTATATAATTCCTGGGCATGAAAAAGTTGCTCCCAGCACTTTTCGGGTTAAGGAATTTGTCTTTAAGAAAACACAATCAACAACCTGGTGAACATTTTTTCGTATATCATTGAATTTTATTATGCACCATAGTTTTGTGTATCAAAATGTTTGTGTACTTACTTATGAATTTTAAATAGTTTCAAATTTGTCAAATATGAATGAAAACAAACATACCCGAACTTAAAAAAATCTAAAATCTAAGTTCAAAAGTTTCACCATAGTAAACCAAAGTTCCAAAATGTTCACCATAATAATTCAAAGTTCCAAAGTTTTTAGCACATTAAATCAAAGTTCTAAAGTTTTCGCCATAGTTAATCAAAGTTCCAAATTTTTCACCAGAGAAAGCAAAGTTCTAATTTTTTTTTCATTTATTCAAGATTATTTGATTTTATATCAAATAGTAAATTATTAATTTAGGACAGGGTTTTTAATGTTTGGTAGTTGAGCCGAAGTGTACACAAGGTATTACATCAGAAATATACAAAGATGTATTACGAGTCAAACTACGTACGAGTTAATCATAAATGTGCACCGGAAGTTATCCCCCTTTTCAAACCAGCAAATTGTTGAAACCAGACGCTTTTTTCTACACGAAGTAATCAAAGGCCATCACGTCCACAGAACCGAAATTATGCCACCAGTTAGAACGTCGATGACCAAAAGAGCGTCCAGGAAGCGGAGGGAGACTATAGGAACCCCATCGAGAGGCAGAGGGCACCGGTGCAGGCAAAGCACTAGGCCCAGGACAAATCTCTCGCCAACACGCCGGGTCCCGGCCGAGGCAACAGGCGCCGATGGAATTCCCCCAGAAACACTTCCTCTGCCATCCGATACTATACAACCGACGTTGACACCACAAATAGAACAAAGCATCCCTGGAATCCCCAGTGGAAGCGGTGAGTCAAATTCAAATTTTTCAAGTCAACCACTACAAGATATCAGTTGTTATGATTCCGTAGGTTCACACGTCCCTCAGAAAATTAAAAAAACAAATATGGGAGTGCAAATTTATAGATTTCTCACTGTTTTCTAAAACAGCTTGTTAATTACAAGATTATGAATCACAAGGGGACATACAAATTAAAGAAGGGCGGCTATGCATTGTCAAACAAAAAACAAATACCATTCTCACAATCGATAAGTGGACATCGACTTTTATTATATTTACAAGCATTATGTTGGAGAAATTTCCAACACGGGCTCAAGAACTACTCAAGTATCTCAGAGATATCAGAATCGCTGCTACTAGGTCAAATAATTGGTTTAAATACGACGAGCAATTTCGTTTAAAAATGGCCAACCACCCCCAGTTGTCATGGGGTCAAATTAATCAGGAATTTTGGCTTTTGTACATATCTAACAAGGACGAAATTATTCAAACATATAATCGAACCTCTTCTCAAAGTCAAAGTTCTTACCCAAGCAATCCAAACCGTACTTTGGCATTTTATTGTAATCAATTTTACAAGGGAGTAAGTTGCCCTTTCTTCCCTAAGTGCAAGTACAGACATGCATGCAGCAAGTGCGAAGCTAACCACCCAAGTATCAGGTGTTCAAAATAATGGTTCATTATATTCTTTGGGTACAACACTAATCAAGTTACATTTGTACAAAATTTATGTAAACATTTAGTTGGATACTCTGATTGTGAATTCATATTCCAGGGTTTAAGTATGGTTCTAATCTCCAATATTTGGGCCTCAGGACAACCCATAACTCTTCTAACCTCCCTAGTCTCAAGGCTAATACAGTAAAAGCTGAAAGTAAAATTCAAAAGAACTAGCACTAAAACGAGTCGCAGCCCCCCCCCCCCAGATTTTTTTTTTTCTTCACCCACCATATCACAGAAGAAGGGTAACAAAGAACAGAAAAGCTGACCTCACAGTATGGAAAACTTTTTTGCAATCTTACAATGGTATATCGGTTATATTTACCCAGCCCTGGATTTGCAATTCAACTTTTCACAGGTAGCTCAGGGGGAACTATTGGAGGGTTTTGGCATCTACTTTAGCAAATGTTTAGGGGGAAATGGGCTTATGGGGTCTGACCAAGCCTTCGGGTTGAACTAAGTATTACAAGGGACATGACTTTCCTGGAACTTTTCCCCGTCATGGTCACTATTATATTATGGTAGAGCCACATTGCCAATTCTAGACTTGTCTTCCATATTGACAACATGTCAGTTCAGTTGTCCACATCATCAACAACACATCAAAATCTGATAGGGTCATGAATCTTGTTCGCAAGCTTGTGTTAATATGCCTAAAGTCAAATATTAGTATTAAGGCCTTATACTAGTATTTTCCCACAACCAAAACCATTGTAGGCTCCTTATCTCAATTTCAGTGGGGCAGATTCAGGCGACTGGCACCGCAGGCAGACTTAGGGCCCACCTCACTACCAAGCCACATCTGGGAAATATAATGCTTGAAGCAGATCAATTATTACAATGCTCAATAGCACCATTTACACATCGAGCATATTCAACAGCGCTGAACAAATTTCAAAACTTCATTTCAGAATTTAATTTCCAAATTATTTGGCCAGCACCAGTGCAATAGCTCATGAATTTTATTGGTTCCCTCTCACTTAATAATATGTCATACAGAAGAGTATCACTGTACCTAAATGCAATCTCATACATGTATACACAAAATACATGACTTTCAGGACACACACACATACAAAATCTTAAATAATGTATTTTTAAGGGAGGGTTTACAAAGAAATGACAAGCTTCTTACACATGTTACACATCTAAATTCTAAGCCACTTACTAAGTATCAGTTTCAAGTCATTTTACAAAAGCATTACAATTCATTGGGGTCACCGGGCACTTTGGGTCGCATAGTTTCAGAATCGGCATGGCAACCGAGCTTGCCAAACAAGGCCTCTTGGATACTGAAATAAAAGGAAGGTGGCGATCAACTTCATATTTAACTTGCATTAGGAGACAGTAAAGCTGTCCCCTTGTTATTGTAGCACCTACTAACTCTACCAAAGAATTTTCAGGTACCCCAACCATTTGGATAATGGGATCATCAATTCCATTCTGGGCAGGCCATCATGCTGCAACCTACCATCAGGGGGAAGTAACCTTATTTTACCTGCCACAATTACTTTGTTAGGACGTAGGGGTATGCTTTGGGATCAGTTAGACAAGGCAGTTTTCTGATTATTTACTTCAGTATTCTACACCCAAATTTCTATTGATACACCTTGGATCTAATGATTTAACTACACCAGATTTAACAAGCATCAAACTTATTCATCAAATACAGTGCAGCCTGCATCGCTATAACGCACTTCTTCCAAGTACCACTTTAATCTTTTCCCCAATGTTACCTAGGCTGTACTGGCATGGTGCCCCTCCAATAGCAGGTGCAAAAATTAACAAGAAACGGCTCAAAGTTAACAAGTCTATCAAAAAGTTTATAACTACTGAAGAAATGGCTGTTACATAAACAATGACTCAAACATTAAAATCTCAGAAATACAATTGTTCAGGCATGATGGTACCCACTTGTCAAAAACTGGTCTTGAGGTTTACCTTAATAACCTGCAGTCTGCTCTACACATGTTTTAATCAAGAGAGCCAATGTATATCCTCCAAATTAACTTGATGTTTCATTACAAATGCTTAATTTTTGTGGGGGGACATAGTGTCTATGTCCTGTGGCGGGGACTGGGGGATACTTTTGTGTATGTTGGGATCAAGTGGCCCCATAACCTGGTTGTCTCCCCACCCTGCATCAAAGCAGGGGGGCGTTTTGGTATGTGATACATAAGTACATGTAGCACATAAGTTGTCTAAAGTAACATTATATGGTAACATCCGTGGTTCTTGGCCTGTCATGGCTGGTTCCACCTCCACCTCGCACAAGCGGGGGGAGGCCACAGTCTGGTAAAGTAAATGGGTACACCAGGTGGCGCTGGAGACAGGGAGAAGGGCAGTCCCGCATTCACTGGTCCAGAACGTGGTGACCGTTCGGTTCGGGCACTTGTGCTTACACTCGGCCCCCCATGTGCCCATTGTTATTTTGGTACATTTGTAGGTATCCCCCGTCCCCCACAAAAATTGCGGCCTTTTTATCTCCAATTACGTTGATTGTAACAAATGTGTGTTTTTGTGCTCAAAGTATCAATAATAAAGTGATAAACTTAATACATGTGTTATCATTACAGGTGTTTACATGATTGGATGGGTCTGATCTGAGTTGTCTGTATGTCTGTAATCTTAGTAGGGGATGGACTCTGAAGCAAAGCGCTTGTGCTGCAAACACATTGTAGGAGGGTAGTACACTAAGCGGAAAGTTGTGTAAAGGGATTATACTCCCTGTATCTATAATTAATCAAGATTATTTGATTTTATATCAAATAGTAAATTATTAATTTAGGACAGGGTTTTTAATGTTTGGTAGTTGGGCCGAAGTGTACACAAGGTATTACATCAGAAATATACAAAGATGTATTACGAGTCAAACTACGTACGAGTTAATCATAAATGTGCACCGGAAGTTATCCCCCTTTTCAAACCAGCAAATTGTTGAAACCAGACGCTTTTTTCCCAGCCCACCCACCCCTGTAATTAATAGTTGAAAGGTCATTGCTTACCATAATTTAAGAGTTTTCCTTTCTGCTGTGTTTTGTTTTATCTTGCAGGACACTGGAATGTGGACCCATGGGGATACCATGCACCCATCAGTGTAGGAAAGTGCGAGAAGCCAGAGCCTTTGACCATCAAGGACTAATTACACGCTTACACCAGTTCATTAGACTTTCTAGTGCATGTAGTGTAAATCAACTACCATGAACACTTTCATAACAGGGGAAGCCTAGTTAATTATAAATGGGGAAATCATATTTGGGAACTTATCCTTTAATCCTTTATTGTCGCAATTCCGGGATGGGGGGTGGGGACTGGGGGATACTTTTGTGTATGTTGGGATCAAGTGGCCCCATAACCTGGTTGTCTCCCCACCCTGCATCAAAGCAGGGGGGCGTTTTGGTATGTGATACATAAGAACATGTAGCACATAAGTTGTCTAAAGTAACATTATATGGTAACATCCGTGGTTCATGGCCTGTCATGGCTGGTTCCACCTCCACCTCGCACAAGCGGGGGGAGGCCACAGTCTGGTAAAGTAAATGGGTACACCAGGTGGCGCTGGAGACAGGGAGAAGGGCAGTCCCGCATTCACTGGTCCAGAACGTGGTGACCGTTCGGTTCGGGCACTTGTGCTTACACTCGGCCCCCCATGTGCCCATTGTTATTTTGGTACATTTGTAGGTATCCCCCGTCCCCCACAAAAATTGCGGCCTTTTTATCTCCAATTACGTTGATTGTAACAAATGTGTGTTTTTGTGCTCAAAGTATCAATAATAAAGTGATAAACTTAATACATGTGTTATCATTACAGGTGTTTACATGATTGGATGGGTCTGATCTGAGTTGTCTGTATGTCTGTAATCTTAGTAGGGGATGGACTCTGAAGCAAAGCGCTTGTGCTGCAAACACATTGTAGGAGGGTAGTACACTAAGCGGAAAGTTGTGTAAAGGGATTATACTCCCTGTATCTATAATTAAACAAAATTTTATTCACATTAGGTGAATGCGGTTGGGTAGCAGGCAAAGCCTTTTTTAGTCATCTCCCCACAAGGTCAAGATGAACACACAATATATATGTATGAAAATAAATAAAAATCCAAATTTTTCACCCTATTAAAACAAAGATCAAAGTTTCAAAGTTTTCACCATCGTAAATCAATGTTCCTAACTTTTAACTATAGTTAATCAAAGTTACTAAGTTTTCGCCTTAGCAATTAAAGTTCGCAGGTTTTTACTACAGTATATCAAAGTTCCAAAGTTTTCACTAAATCAGTTCCGAAGTTTTTACCATATTTATTTAAAGTTCCAATTTTTTTCCATAGTAAATCAAAGTTCCAAAGTTTTTACTATAGTGATTCGAAAGTTTCAGTTTTTTTTGTAATTATATTAACAACAAATATAGATTAATTAAGTTGTTATATAATATAACGGTTTTGAGGATGATGGCATTTGGTTTGTTGGGTCTGGTTTTTGTTGTTCATGTAAATTTAAAAATGCAAAGTAATTAATTTGAATGCAATATTTACGGTAGGAAAAAATACAGATGAACTGAAGCTTATGAAAGAATTATACTTATTCTAAATAACTCAAATTTTATCTTATAGTTATCTTTTTTTTTCTCCATAAAAAGACTTACGTGTTATTTGCACAATATCAAAATTAAATACTTAATAAATATTTTTTATTATCGGTGCAAAAGACAATTTTATATTAAAATTCATTTCTTGTACAAGAAATTCTTCAATATTCTTTTAGGGGACGGGTTGGGTCTTAAAAAGATCTCCAAGGCTTTAATGAATTTTATTATCTTGAAATTTCATAAAATGTACAGAATTGGAAGCAAAAACATAATTCCACGGTAAGCTGTATAGTTTCACTGAAAAAAGTACAGTCTCTTCTGCAGACAAATTAGGTCAAAAATAGTTCTTTACGAAGAAGTTAATATTAAGATATTTATTTGAAAGTGTGAAGCTTTTTCTAGTGAAGGTTCTTCTTGTTTATCAGTCTTACACAAGGAAGTGCTTATTTGCAAAAGGATAGGAACAATCTGCCTAACTTCAATAAGGACACTCTACCTAACTTCAATAGCTTATGTGCTTTTCTGCCTAACTTACATGTACATATATTTAGTAAGAACAGCCACCGTCAAATAAATTCTGTTTTATCAAACGAACTGCTTATATAAAATGCATTTTATCATTAAAAAACATTTCATTCATGCACATAAACAATAAATCATTGTGATATTTCTTTATCATGAATACAATTATATACTCCTTTTGCCTAAATAAAGAAAGATCGACTTGTCTGCGAAGAAATGTATGTATAAAGTCTAGTCTCTCATTTTGGGTTATTTTAAATGTAAAAGAAAATCTGACAAGTTATTTTAGGTAGGATTAAAAACTATTTGAAAAACCCTAATATGTTTTAACTCGATTAAGATTGAATTCTCTATTCCTCTCCTCTCTCTTTCTCTCTTTCTTTTGACAGAACACATATGAACAATTCCGCTTAATATACTGGCCATACTCTATGTTTCAGATTAATTATTAACAAAAAACATACACATTGTATTTCAACGAGTGTATCTGTACACTCAACGAGAAATTAGAAAGCAGCCATGCCCCTCCCCTCCCCCTAGACAAAATGTAACATTAAAAAAATCAAGCAAAATGTGTGTAGTTCTACATTATCTTTATTCTAAATACTAACATTAAAAGCTATCCATAGAAATTGTTTTTCCTAGTAGTTCATCACCGACAGTATCTAGTTATTCATGTGACAAAATGGAGTTCATTTATAGAGATATATTTCACAAAGGTCACAGAAATGTCGCAAAGTATACCAATTTTCGATTTTTTTACCTTTATTTCAATTTTCAACAAATTTGTAGAATATATATTTTTTTTCTTATCAAAAAAAAAAATCAGAATAAAAGACCACCCATCCTAATAATTTTATGTATTTCATATGTATTTGTTTTGATGCATCTTTTGTATAAAAATTTCACATCGGTAAACATGCATGTGCTCTATGTTTTTCGACGCGAAAAGTACCCGTATCAGAGTTATGAAAAAAATATTCACATGAACTGAGAAAATGTAATAAAATAGAATAGTTTGTCACCCATTTATCACTTCCGTGCGCATTGAATTAGGATAAGTGCTGGATTAAAAACACTTAACATTTAAACGCTGATTTGAAGATTTTCAAAATTTACAGCTATAGTTTGGTTATCAAAACAAATATAGACCCTGAGACGTGCTACTAACCCAAAAAAGGTCTGGCAAACCGTGTAGCGTTTCGTGTAAACCCTGCAGCATTTCGTGCAAACCAAGTAGGTTTTAACTCCTGAAATATCACAAGCATAACTAATTCAATAATAAAATACTTACACTATTTGAGATCTTGACCCATCAATAGCCATATCAAAAAATGAAATGACTTCCGAATGAATTTTACACGTTTTTTGCACAAACGCGCACATATCTCACACGCTTCTCGCACGCTACATTGTTTGCTCGAAACGCTTTTGAATTTACAAGAAACGCTGCACGTTTTACACGAAACGCTACACGGTTTGCACGAAACGCTATCAGACAATTGAAAGGTGATTGAAATTGAACTGTAATATAACTGCAAGAGCTCCGTGGTTCAGCCACCTTTTCTAATCTCTCATTGAATACACCGGTATAGATGACTAAATTGTACATTTTCATCCTAGGATACATTTACTGACGTTCTACATAATCATATTCTAGTAAATATGCACAACTCACCTCCATTTGTTTCAGCCAATCCTATCCCAAGTATTAAAATTCCTAACGTCAAAAAGAAAGTAAATGTCTCAAATTTAAAACGTTTATGAAGCCACAATCTAAACATTATAAAAATACAAGTGTGTTTTGCGCCTAATACATGATTTTTTTTCTCTCTGTCTCTGTTGTACTTTATCCAACGAAAACAGAAAAAAAATTAGATCTTGCAACGCACGGAAATGATACTTGAAGTATTTATGAATGTTACATCATTTTGTGAAAGGAAACTTGAAATGTCGCTTTTTGCGAAATGATGTAATAACCAAAAAAAAATCTACAGTAAAGTTTATAAAAAACTTAGACAAAATAGCTTACATTTTTAACCTATTTCAACGATATCTTGGATTTGTGTGCAGTTAGAGCATACAAAGGAAGTTGTTTTTGAGAATACATAACAAAAGTGTAAAGATACGCAATAGTTACTTACTTCTAAGGTTTGTCTGTCACACAGTTCTGCCAAATTAGTGATTATCAACCTCCTGAAACATCCACATGATCTACGATATTGGGGTTATCGTTAACCCAAATGTTAAGTTCTTCTAAAAATGAATGTACAATTAAACTTTTTATATCTCGAATACCATCGAAGCATCGAAATAATTGTGTTCGAATACCATCGAAGCGTCGAAATAATTGTTGCCCTGTGGGGATCCGGGTTAGAATAGGTCCTCAGTACCCCCTTGCTTGTTGTAAAAGGCGACTAAATGGGGCGATCCTTCGGATAATATCGTATAAACCGAGGCTCCGTGTCACAGCAGGTATGACACGATAAAGATCCCTCCCTGCTCAAAGGCCGTAAGTGCCGAGCATAGTCCTAAATTTGCAGTCCCTCACCGGAAATGGTGACGTCTCCATATCAGTAAATTTTTTTGAGGGGGCCGTTAAACAGTATACAATCAATCAATCAAACGAAATAATTTTGACAGTGGTCCACCTTGTCACTGGCACTGTTAAACAATTACGATTGTTTTTATTTGCAACGTTTATTTACATATTTACAACAAAAGGGATGTATATTTAAATGATGCATGAAGGTAACAATCAAGGTAGGACAAAACACCCGTGGATTCTATTTTAACCCATTTCTTAAAAAAGTACTTGAGAAAAAAAATAATATTAGTATAGTGATCCCTGTAAGAAAAATAATAAGTTCTGACATGTTTTTTTCTTATTTTTTGTGAAAAAGAAGATAATCCTATATATTGGTCACTTGAGAACTTATATTTTGGAATGTGTCTCCATTTTTTATGAACTGCCAAATTCAAGGCCATGTCAAGAGGTCAAAGGTAAAACATTGTGACATCATCTACCAAATCTTTTAGTTTTTTTGCCATTGAAATTTATTCAATCGTCAGTATATCTGAAACTACTGGTTCAATTTTCTTTATTTTTACGGATTCTATTCTAGGACCCATTCGAATCATTCTGTTGATTTTTTGGTAAAACTTGATTATTCATTTTTTCTTAAGAGAACTTAAACTGTCGGATATTTACATGTGGATTTTCAATTCCGACCCTATGTATGTTCTATTTTCACTTAATATTTTACTCAAAATTTCCAGAATCAATATGACGTACTGATTTAAAGTAACTAAAAGTTTATCATTTTTAAAAATATAACACAAATTTGCAATAGATCAATTGATAATTCTAAGATAAGGCTCATTCTCAGGTTGAATGTCTGATTTCCGAATATTCTTATAGGGGTCTGATAGGTCATATTTCAGACTAAATGGGTAAAGAATGTGCGGTTGAATTTCTTTCATATCATCTTTAAAGAGAGATTTTGTATCCTAGAACAAAATATCAATGTTTTAGAAAAATTGAATTTGAGTAAAAATTTGGCCTAACCATTGTGTCCTACCTTAAAAAACACTTCAACTTTCATTGAATTTCAAACTTATTTCCCCCCTCTTTTCTCAAGGGTTCCCCGGGTTAGGCCATAATAAATCTCCTTTTCCCCAGTTTCTCACTCAAGTCAACCTTATGCTCACTTTCATCTTTTAGAACTCTATCAACACAACAAACAAACGATAGCAGAAATGACAAATAAACAAATTATAAACCCATGCTTGCTCACTCTCTTTCTCTCTATCTAGCTAAAATGACACTCTTGGGAAACAGGGCTACAACGCCTGCGTCAAGCACCAGCAACCTTAACAGACCTTCCAACTCTCTGATTTACAATTAGTTAACGTGGGCGATTGCTCTCCAACACAATTAAGAAGTTTCAACTACTTACTCTATAGTTTTTTTACACAGTTATACTTTCCCTATGCCCTAAATATCTTAATTTTGTTTCTTGGTCCCTCAGAGTTCGAAATTATAATGTTTAACTTTACTATATTATGGTTCAATATCACTGTGAAAGGAAAACTACAGACACTCATTATATTTTTTTTAAATCTAATGTCCTGAGAGAACAGGGTGTCTTCAGTGAATACAGTATAAACTGAAGATGTATTCAATTCGGTGAAGAGATTGCATCAGGATTAATTATCATCAGGTTATTCAGCGTCACTGTATATGTTATCTTTCTAACTCACCTGAGCCAAAAGCTCGAGTGATTTTTTTTTCTTATAAAAATATGTTCGTTGTTTGTCAATGTTGTTTTGGTGGTGTTGATTCAGGTTTGTTCAAATCATCACCCAGACGGTTACGTGACCATATGGCTCATATAGTGATCAATGTTTTTCATGGGTATTTATGGGGAAAATCTGTCAATGTTTTCATATGAAGAACATTTAAGCCGTGACTAATTTATTATAGTTATCTTCATGTTTCTTCATGCATTGAAATATGTTCAAATCATCAGCCAAATGTTAAGAGCAGGAATACACTGGGAAAAAACTGTTCTTTAAAAATTTTTCGTTTTCTAGAGCAGCAACGCAATGATCAAACAATTAATATGGAAGCATCATCAGGTAGTGTTTATTCAAATTTATTTAAATTTAGTAAAGTCAAGACCCCCTTAGGTACTTATGGGTCACAATGGATGATCAAAGTTTTACAATTGAATCTGAATCTGAATATGAAATACCTATATTTTCACCCAACCAAAATAGCAATGCCATGTTTTTCACGCTAATTCAAATGCCTCTCCAGGCTGTAAAGATTCTACTTCGTTCATAGCATGCTCCCTAAAGAAAATGCGTGGTCACACTTTAATATAAAACATATCTTGAAAAAAAGATTTAATGAAATCTTGAAGAAATTTGAAAGATGTAATGAGCATAAATAAAAAAATTCCTTAGAACACCCTGTGGAGATCTACAAAGTTCTTCATGTCACCTGTCAGATTTTTTTTTCCTTTCAAACTTGTAAATGTGCATAAGTTGAATTTTATAAATAAAAGTAATGTTTATTTCCAAACCTCAGTGTTGTGTATTAGTAACACATTAATGAAAAACAAAATGATTATTTAACAAGGTTCCCTGATGATTTGTTAAGTGCACTAAATGCACGTGAATGTCTATGTGCAATACTAAAGTGCACACTTGAAACGTTAAAAAAAGACGACGTTAGCTTACTCTCCTTCACAAACCTGATTCTATACAATCCTGTATTTAAAAGCGTAATGCAAAGTCTTTCTGGTTAATCGTATCATGAACAAAATTAATTAGCATGAATGCATGAAGCTTCATACAAAATGGTGTATTAAATAAATTTCCGGAGACTGTAGCTTACTTAAAAAAGGAGGTATGTCTAAATTGTCTTACAGTTACCGTTTTGAATTGCGTGAGGACAAAATAAGCTTATCAATTTTAATATTAAGCTGTTAAAAATAATTATTTAAATGTTTTTTTTTCTTGGTTAGACCCATACAAACATTATCACATTCTTCTGGAATGCAGGCCTTTGAAGAGTGTCTTTTGTAGTATATGTAGCGATAAAAAGTGGACAAAATGATAATAATTTTGTATTGAATAAACGAAAGACTATTTTTATGTTTTAAACATGGCAAAACATGAAAATAGCTAACAGAAGACGCGATGTAAATAACTATAAAAAACTATACCCCTTCTTTGGAGTTAACACAGAGTGGAAAGTTTATGTGTCTTCGATAAGTGTTTTTTTGCTGACACGGTACACTTATTCAAATCAGAAGAGAAAAAATGGTAAGTGAAAAAGCAGAGAAAATGACAGTATTAATACTATAATGGTTAAAAAATTATTGCAATAACACAGTCACTGAAGGATGTTTGGTTTTTATGCTGATACATCTTTAATAGTACTAGTATTCAGACAACGTGAAATGCGTTATCTGTAGAACACAGTATGAAAGATAATATTATATGCAGATGATTTAGAATTATAAGTTGTATAATAAGTTGAATAATTCGTTAATGTTTGACGCAGAGGTGGTAGTATTTGCTATAATTACATTGGTTAGACCGCATGTGGAATATTTTGATAGTCAATTACACACAATATCAGATTTCATTTGGTTAACAGAATCTTTAAGATATGTGTAATTTTTTTTCTTTGTAAATGGTAGGCTTGAAAAACTTAGGATACTTCTACTCCTAAGGACAGAAATTCTGGACCGTTGAGAGAGCATCAAATTCTGGTATTGCTTAATAAAGAAAGATATAATCTTTTGGTATCCTGAATAACCTAGCCTGTTTTTGACAGACACCAAGCTTGGTGGTCTGGTACCATGCAAGATATCTCTATCAATATTAAGTCACAGAGTCATCGGTCAAGAGTCAAATTATTCTTCTCTTGTCTCCAGATTTTTTTGCATAACAGACAAACATAAACTTGAAACGTTGGCACTTGTTTAGGAGTGCAATAATGTACTCTGAATTATGATACTCAAAAGAATTCAAAATTGGATCATTATAAGCATTGCCACATGGCACATCCTTCCCTATCTATGGCGGTTGAACTACCAACATTTTTATTTTTTTCAAAATTTTTTGATATTTTTATTTTTCTAAGGTCGAACATATGCAAATTCTTAAATATAGACATCTTTCATGTAAACTTGTCAAAATATTTTGCGATTTTTTTTTTGTAATTTAAACTTTTGAAACCGTTGCAAAATTATTAACACAATCTCAAAAAGTTTTAAATATCGTATTTATCTGCTTTCAAAACCTAAAATATGCCCTACTCTACCCCCACCCCTAAAGATACTACTATGAAAATTATTTTAAGATCCAATGTATACAAGGGTTGTCCCAAAAAGTCGTAGACAGGGAGAATAGTT